TGGAAGGTATAGACGACTAGTGGGAAAGCTGAACTATCTGACTATCACGAGACCCGACATCTCCTTTGYAGTCAGTGTGGTGARCCWATTCATGCAGAACCCTCGTATACCTCACTGGGATGCAGTTCTTAGAATTGTGAGGTATCTGAAAGGAGTTCCAGGCCGTGGGCTATTGTATAAATCAGGAGGAAAATTTGAAGTAATTGGGTATACAGATGCAGACTGGGCAGACTCAGTGAATGACAGAAGATCTACTAYAGGCTATTGCACATTTCTTGGAGGAAATCTTGTGACATGAAAGAGTAAAAAGCAGGCGGTTGTGGCCAGAAGCAGTGCTGAAGTCGAGTATAGGGCCATGGCGCACACTACCTATGAATTAGTGTGGTTGAGAAATCTTCTACAAGAAATTGGAAACGACGGCAGTTTAATCGATATTTATAGGGAAAAGAAGGATGAGACGGAACGGGAAAATTCGAGTGCTTCTATCCTCCCGAGAACATTCCAGAGTTCGACTTCCGCAGAAATTTAAAGAATTTTCTACCATCTTATGGAACTATATTTGCTGTTGTAGCGGCGACTCTTTTGCTAAAAACTCGACTTCCTCTCATCTTCTCTCTGACGATGGCAGAACCACATCTCACTGAGTTTCTGATCGACAGCCCCGTTTTTCTATTACTAGAACTACTTCAAAAGTCGTCATCCAGTGAGTTCACTGAGCTTCTTTTTCAGTTCACCATCAGGCGAACAGGGGAGTTGCAGTGGCGGAGCTCTCCTCTTAATCCAATTTGAAACCGGTAAACAGAGCCCCATTTTCAATGACCCGATTGGTAGGCTCCACCTATTGGCTAGTTCCCGGATTTTTTTTTCGAAGTGGCCCTCTCCGGAGAATTCACCATAGCTGGGCCGACAAATCATTACCTATCTTTGCTCATAGTCTTTCCACCTGTCTTCGTCTAAGAACAGGACGAGTTGAAGCAGGTGGTATGCTGCTACCAAAGAGTTGATGAAGGAAAATGCATGTCCCAAACGTACGCCGAATGCAGTTTCAGCTAAGAAGGCATGAAGACGGAGGACATTATGACCAGAAAACAGTGAACAGGGTTTGAGACATAGCCGTCGCCGGAGATTCGCTATAGTTGTGGAGGCCATGTTACGAAAAAAGCTACTGGGTTCAAAGCTAGGAACTTGGCAATGGTATTAAGTGGCACGGGTTTATAATTAAATTGTTGAATTGGGTGTAAAAATCAAAACCAAGGATGGTTTCTTTCTTTCATCAGAATTTAGAAGTGGTGACTGCCGGTGATATTGGGTGTGGTTTTTCCACCAAATCATTGTACACGTCGTTGCACACATTCCACCATTTCTTCACAAGCATTATTAAGAAGAAGAGAAACTCAATAAACAAAATATCAACCCACGATCTATCAAGTAAAAAATGATTGAATGAAACTGCATAAACACTTACCGTTGCACGACAACGAACGACCTCTCAGGGTGACGCCACAACATTGCCAAGACCAGGTTGTAGATCAGAGGAATGGACATATAGTTATCCCTGAAGAACATATTCAAGAATTCTTAACTCTATAGACGGGGTTGGAGGAGTGGCTTTCAGGGTTTTCGGGAGATCGTCGCAGTTAGTTGATCTTGTCCGGGCACTGCTGGCAGTAGCCGATCTTGTACTGCGAGGTATAACTCCATGTCTTCTCGTAGAAACAGTCCATTACCGTGATGAGGAAGGAGAGAGAAGGCGAAGTGAAAGGGGAAGGAGAGAGAAAAAGAAAATGAAGGGTAAAATTGGGTTAAAAAAGGGTAAATTACCCCTATACTTTATTTTGCGACAAATACCCCTCTACTTTGACCGTGAGACAAAAGCCGTTACAATATTTTTTTAATTCCCATACTACTCTTATATATAATACCTATTCTGAGGAAAAAAATACTGTTCATTTTCCCTGATCTTGTTTTGCATTTCTCTCTCTCTCCCCCGATCTCTTTTCTTCCCCTTTCCCTTAACAGCGTACGAGTTCGGTGCAATTGCTCTAACCGAGTGAGAGGTGAAGAGGAAGAGGGTCGTTGCATTTCACTTGCTATTTTGGTGTGATTGTTCTTGCTCCTTCAACTACTGCTTTTCACCTGCTATTTTGGTGTGATTGTTCTTGCTCCTTCAACTACTGCTTTTCACCTGCCATTCAGTATGGAGCCTGCCGTGGGATGGGATAATCGTCACTCAATCCTCTGGGAATCTTACGGAGCTGGAATGGTAGTGGCTTCGAAGCTTGTTCAGGGGGATAGGCAGGGACCAAGTGCGTTAAAGGCCAGGTTATAGCGATCCAGCTTGTAAGATTACAGTTAAGAATCCCATTCTTCTTGATCTAATGTGTTATTAATGAATTGAGTAGGGAGCTAGTGTTGCTTTGCAGCAGTAGCTGCATGCTCCTCCTTGTTTGTTCTTCTTTCCTCTATATATCGAAAACCCACAAATATAATCCATCTACTCTATTTCTACAGGTTCAATACAGAGACAGGTTAGCATCAGAAGAAGTTCATACGTATGGTGACTTGGGTTTGAAAGCCTTTGGAATGACAGGTCAGTATCTAACGGAGTTCCTTATTTGCATCTCCCAATGTGGTGGCTCCGTTGCTTATCTCGTCTTCATCGGCCAAAACCTGTCATCCATCGTGGGCACCCATACCTTTGACATTGTCTTCTTACATATTCCTCTCGTCGCTGTCGAATTCGCTCTCTCATGGATTCGTTCTCTCTCCGCTCTCTCCCCTTTCACCATCTTCGTAGACATCTGCAACGTGTTGGTGATGGTGATCGTCGTTAATGAAGACCTCCAATTGTTTGACGGTTTTTCTAAGAGAGGTGATTACAAGCGTTGGCGGGTTGCTGTTCACCGGAGGGGTGGTGGTGTTTTGTTTCGAGAGTTTTGGAATGACTTTAGCCGTTGGAAGCGTTGATGAGAAAGAGTAAGAATTTCCGATGGGTGCTGGGGCAGGCGTTCACTGGGATTACGCTTGTGTATGGCGTTCACTGGAATTTCCGGTGGGTGCTATTTGGGTTCTCTGGTCACTTGGCTTACGGTGACCAAACTAGAGATATTATTACTCTCAACCTCTCAGAGAATTGATCGACCACCGCCGTAAAGGTAAACCCCATTCCCATTACTACTCAAATGACGATTATAATCTGTTGTAATGGGGGAATACAAACGGGACAATACACACAAATGTTCTCGGTGGTAGCGATGTGTGAACAACAACGGGGCTTCGACATGACAGCCACAACGACGATACCAAAAGCGGTGCAGATGGGCTTGTCTCATTGGCGGGGGAGCAGAGACTCGCCTTCCGATTCCAGCACCGCAACTATCATCTCGACGAGTTTGGAGAGTCCATGGCCAACCACCCCGCATCGACCATGCCTAAGCATCGATCACCCCGCAACGACTTCGACCGTCACCATGGATACACGAGTGAGAGAAGATGGGGAACACTCTGCAATTTGACTATCACGATGTATGGACAATTGGAACTCTTTAAATGGCCAAATGGAAGGCTCGAGAATGGTTCAGCTAAAAATCTACAATATCAAGGAGGACTTCGGAAGTCTGTTGCCGCTGTTGTTCATCTATCTTGAGGTTGGGGAAGATGAACGGTGTTTTATCAGAATAATTATTATAAGGGTAGTATAGGAATTAAAAAATATTATAATGGCGGATTTTAACAGAAGACTAATAAAAGGGGGTCTTTGTCTCACGGTCAAAATACAGGGGTTTTTGTCGCAAAATAAAGTACAGAAGAGTCTTTGTCACAGACCCATAATACAGGGGTTTTTGTAATTTACTCTAAAAAAATTAAATGATGTCACGTGTGTATAAAATTTGATGGGATATTAACGGATGATAAAGGGTAGAGCCGTAGAGGTAGTCAACAATATGCTACTTTACAAGATTGAAACGTAAATCGTGAAATCGACAAATCGTGAAACAGTTGAAGGAGGAGCTCCTCCTCGGCAGCCGGCAGGTTAACGGCCACTCGAAGAAGGAAAGCAAGCAAGACATGGCAGCCCTCAGTGTTCCAGTCATCTCCCTCCCACATCACCACCCTGTTACAAAACCCAATTTCAGAGTCACGAATAACGACGACCCTCGCTTTGATAATCACTCGGTACTTTCCCTGATCGATAAATGCTCGGATATGAAACAGTTGAAGCAAATCCATGCTCAGATGCTCCGTACCGGAGCCTTCTTCCATCCTTATTCCGCAAGTAGACTAATCACTATGTGCACACTATCTCCTTTCGCAAGCCTCGAGTATGCCAGACGGGTATTTGACCAAATCTCCCAACCAAATGTCTATACTTGGAACACTCTCATTCGTGCTTACGCTTCCGGTCCTGAGCCACACCGAGCTCTACTAATCTTCTGCAAAATGCTTCATCAATGCCCTGATCCCCCCAACAAATTCACTTTTCCATTCGGAATCAAAGCGACTTCGGAGCTCTCTGCTTCACGCGAAGGAAGAGCTTTTCATGGCATGGTTGTTAAAGCTTCACTAGCTTCCGATGTTTACATACTCAATTCTCTTGTCCATTTCTATGCTGCGTGTGGGGATTTAGATCAAGCTTATCAAGTTTTTGTGAACATTCCCAACAGAGATGTTGTTTCTTGGAATTCTATGATTACTGCCTTTGCACAAGCGAACCGTCCCAAAGAGGCATTGGAGCTGTTTCGGATGATGGAGATGGAGAAGATTAAACCAAATGATGTAACTATGGTGAGCGTTTTATCAGCTTGTGCGAAGAACTTGGACCTGGAGTTTGGGACCTGGGTTCATTCTTATATTGAAAGGAATGAGATTGACATGGATTTGATTTTGAGTAATGCAATGCTTGATATGTATACCAAATGCGGAAGCCTTGGGGAAGCTAAAAGACTTTTTGATATGATGCCCGAGAAAGATTCTTTCTCGTGGACAACTATGATTACTGGGTATGCAAAATCAGGGGAGTTTGATGCTGCTCGATGTTTTTTCGATGCGATGCCTGCCCGAGATATAGCTGCATGGAATGCCCTGATATCTGCTTATGAACAGAGTGGCCAAGCCAGGGAAGCTTTGTCTCTATTCCATGAGCTGCAGCTCAGTTCAAGTGCCACACCAGATCAATTCACACATGTCAGTGTCTTGTCTGCCTGTGCTGAATTGGGTACAATGAATTTAGGTAGTTGGATACACATTTACATAAATAAACAAGGTATCAAGCTAAATTGCCATCTGGCAACCTCTCTTATTGACATGTATTCCAAGTGCGGGGATCTAGATAAGGCTCTCGAGGTGTTCCAATCCATGGGGAAGAAGGATGTGTATGTTTGGAGTTCCATGATTGCAGGCTTGGCTATGCATGGTCGTGGCAGAGACGCAATCCATCTCTTCTTTCAAATGCAAGAGGCTATGGTTAAGCCAAATGCCATTACTTTTACCAACGTCTTATGCGCCTGTAGCCATGCTGGATTGGTGGAGGAAGGAAAGTTATATTTTGACCAAATGCTTGCGGTGTATGGGATTACACCTGAGATCAAGCATTATGGGTGCATGGTGGATATTCTTGGTCGTGCTGGTCTCTTAGATGAAGCTGTCCAATTTATACAGAATATGCCAATAGTCCCAGGTGCTTCTGTATGGGGTGCATTGCTCAGTGCTTGTCGGACTCATGGAAATGTTGAGCTGGCGGAATATGCTTGTAATCAACTGCTTGAGCTGGAGCCTAGGAATCATGGAGCTTATGTGCTTTTATCCAATATATATGCCAAGTTTGGGAAATGGGACAAGGTCTCAATGTTAAGAAAACTTATGAGAAATTCTGGAATCAGGAAAGAGCCTGGTTGTAGCTCAATAGAGGTAGATGGTGTAGTTCATGAGTTTCTAGTGGGAGATAATTCCCACCCTCTATCCAGAGCGATCTATTCCAAGTTGGATGAGATCATGGTGAAATTGAAATCTATAGGCTATGTGCCAAACAAGTCTGACCTACTTCAGAATGTAGAAGAAGAGGATGTGAAGGAGCATGCACTGTACCTCCATAGTGAGAAGCTGGCAATAGCTTTTGGGCTTATCAGCGTGGACCCACCTAAACCAGTTCGAATCATGAAAAATATTCGCATTTGCAGGGACTGCCATTCAGTAGCTAAGCTCATTTCTAAGCTTTATGATAGAGAGATATTATTGAGGGATCGGTATCGGTTCCACCATTTTAAAAAGGGACAGTGCTCTTGTATGGACTATTGGTAAACAAGGAATTACTGAACGAAGTCTGGGTTCAGAAACTGCAAATACTTGATGTCTTGCTATGGGAAGCAAACAGGAGTTGTGAGTGGAAACAACAGCTTCTGGTGAAAATTAACATACAGTAGGACAAAGAGTTTTGCAAGTAGAGATCTTCGACGTTGATCTTTATTGAAAACTGGAATGTTGAATTGAAAAATAGGAAATCAATGCAGCTTCAAATATCAGAAGAAACCAATTAGGTCATCCAATTTGGTTTTGGCTTGATCTTGCTTGCTAAAGTCCAACAGTATTGAACTGCTGGATGAAATGTCAATGGTGCTGAGTTGTGTTCCATCTCTGATTTCCCTGCCCCAGTAAAATTCACCAATAGAATGTAATTCCACAAAATAGCATAACTTGTGTCTGCTGGCTCTCTTGGTTATTCTATGGAACTTGATATCCCGATTGTCATTATTGAAGCCAAGCTATTTCATCATCTCTTACATGTCTCCAAGTTCCAATGTTATGGGTATTAAATCCCATCATTCATAATTTATGTCTTTAGTTATTGATAAGTATGTCTAATAGAAGACCCTGTATATGTATGTATTCCCCAAAAATTGATGCTCATTACTCAAGTTTTTTGATATAACTCAAGATCGCAAACATGGTTTCTTGAAGAGGTTTGTTTCTTTTTTTTTTTTCTGTTTAAGATAGAAATATTTCAAGTTTAGGAGTAATGTGGATTTTCTGGTTGGGCCATTTAGTGGAGGAGTCTAAATGGCCAAACTTCAATATGGAAACTCATTTTAGGGCTCAAAAGGAGTTCCCATGTTCTATTTCTTGTCCTCTGTTCATGAAAAGTTTCAGCCAGAGATACCTTTGCCATATCTGTATAAAGCTTCCTTTCTATGCATCTTTTAACTTGTAAAAAGAAGTTCGTGCAGCTATTGTTAGTTGGGAAAAACTCCTATTAAAGGTGTATGGAGTTGACATGGATTTTGTGGAGTGAAGACATGGATAATCTAGAAATCTTCTATTTGATGGATGGTCTGGATCAGATTTTCCTTGAACAGAGGGCCAAAATGTACCTGAATTTTATGTGCAGGTGTGCTGCCTGAACTTTACAAAGAACCTTTTCTGACCTTTTTAAGTATTCAATATCATCTCATCTTTTGTTTTTATCCATAACTTATGTTGTTATCTTAAGTTCTTCATATCCAACCAATTTGTGAATGGTTTTGACATGTTTGAATTTTGATGGTTCTTGTGCATTACTCACAAAAAACTACAGAATTTTTGTTTCTACTTTGCATATAAATATTTTTATGATATTTTTTTTTCATTTGAAGTTTCAAATTTCAACTATAAATGATGTTAGTTTTCTTCCTAAATAGGGTTTCTCAACAGGTTTACCTGAAAGGCTGCAGTTACCACTATTGAGAACATTACCTGGCCTTGAGAACTGTTCAATGCTGGGGCCTGCTTATTTCGTAGAATACGATTTCTTGCCTGCTTATCAGTGCTCCAGATCTCTTATGGCAAAGAGAATTGATGGGCTCTTTTTCTCAGGCCAGATAAATGGAACAACAGGCTATGAGGAAATTGTTGCTACTCTTTGTCACCTTCCTATTTATTTTTGAGACCTTTGTCTCAGCTTGTGGTGGCCATGATCCGAGCTCTTCATGAACTACTTGAGCTCGGCTTGGCTCGGTTTCAACCGAGCTCGAGCCTAATAGAGCTTGTCTCTTGAGGTTTGCAAGCTGAGCTCGAATATATATATATATAATATAATATAAAATAAAATTATAGAAAATAATATATATAATAAAAATATTATAATTCTTAATTTTTTTAAATATCAACTAAAAAATATTTTTGATATATAATTTTTTATTTTTATAAAACATTTTTTCTCAAATCGAGCTCGAGCCTTGTACTAGCTTGGCGAGCCGAGCTCAAGCCTCATATTATTTGGCTAGGCTCGGCTCGAATCCACCCCTAGCCTCAGCTTATGCATTCATGTGCAGGGTATTATTTCTGGAATTAATGCAGCTAGACATTTAGATGGAAAGCCTTTCATCATTCTTGAGTGGGAAAGCAGTTATATAGGGACCTTGATTTATGATCTGGTCACAAAAGATATTCAGGAGCCTTACTGCATTTTGACAAGGTATTTGGGGCGAGGTGTTCCCTTTGACCATTCAATAGTATTATTCTCACTAAGTGACAAAAATGTGTAACTTATGTTTCTGGACAATTGATCCATTGGAATATACACAATGTGCCTTCCACTCCCTTATTTTGAGAATTAAATCTTAAAAGTTAATGATGGTGGATAAATTACATTACCTTTATATATGCCCTACCATGCCCCTCTCTCTAGTTGAGTTGCAGGGTTAATTAATGGATGTTCTTGCTTAATATAGAATCAGGCTTTTCTTTCTTTGTGATCCTTCATGAGGATATCAACACCTAACAGCATGTAAAATGTATTTAGCTTACATGCTTCACCTCCTTCTTGTGGCTACTTAAAACCTCTCTCTGTATATTGCATGCATGGTAAATGTGATTAGACCCCATCTTAACATGATGGTGGACGAGAGGACATTTTTGGAAGATTATTTTGGATTTATTTTAGTCAAATTCCTATGTTACAAGAACTTTCCATTTGTAGATACTCTTGAGATGATATATCCCATTTCTTGATACACAACAGGAAAATATGAGATCATGTTTGTTGGGCTGGTTCATCAGTGGGATTGTAGATCATGTGGGTTTTCAATGTTCTACTGTTACAGTTAATACCATGTAAACTATGCACTCCTTTTGCTGCTTCATGTGATATTGGACTACAAGGTCAGCTTCCAAGTTCCAGCAGTCACGAGGCTGGATTCTTTATGAAGGTATTAAATCTTGGTGGTGTGCTTTGCGCCATGGTCAATAAAGAAATAAAGAATTGAGCAGATGTTTTGTTATTCATGTTTTCTCATGTCTGTACAGACAAGCTAATGTTGTATCATTTTTATTTTAATGGCATGCATGGTGTGGTTGAGATCATTGATGGTGAATAAATTGAAGTTTTGTCGTCATTTTATTTTACCAGGTTATGTTGTCTATTGATGTCCTTTCCTTCCTGCCTTTATTGTAATTTGTGTATTGGTTGTAATCATGCACAAATCTGTACTTTGTCTCAAGTTTATTGTGGTTTACCATTTTTTTTTTGTTTAGGGGGGAGGTGGTGTTTGATTTGATTTTGTGTTATGTTTGTGCCTTGAATTTTTTGTGGTGACCCATTGCATGAATCCGCTCCGAAATAATTTGAGAAAAAACCCGAAGGCAAAATTTCATAGTGGTTTGTGGTGGAAGCGTAGGGGCAGTATGGACCCGATCCATATTCAGCTTATAGGTCTGAACCGAATATGAAGTTATGTATTTTTGGGGGTTTTCTCTCTTGTATGCTTAGTCTTTGTCTTGTGAGAGAAGAGAGAGACATTGGGTGTATTTTGGGGTTTAGGGTTTTCTGTGAGTGAGGTTGTGAGTGCACAACTATGTATTTCTTCTCCATTGCTGACTACATAGTGGATTTCTGCTCCTCCTTAGCCCGTGGACATAAGCTATAAGCCGAACCACATAAATCTTTGTGTTCTCTGTTCTTGCTTGTCTTTATCTCTGCTTTACTTTTATTTGGATGCCATTCGAATCTGTTTTCCTGGGTTTTTCCACAACATTATGTAATAGCTGTTTGTGTTGTTTGTATTACTTTTTTTTTTGAGCCGAGGTAAAGTATATTTGTATTAATGAAAAAGGTCCTTTGTACAATGAGAAGCTGTATAAAACAAGCCAGAAGGACCTCAAAAAAGGGTCATAAAAAGCTCCAGTGTTGTTTGTATTACTCACTGGAGTGGAAGGCATGCTTGTCTGCATTAATTTTGTATGTACTCATTCTTCTCCATGATATCCTGGAATCCCTTGTAAACAAGTCTTTCCATTTAGTCAATGGTTGATTTTCGATATTTGCATCAATGGGCAAGAAAATTCCACTTTTTTGCATTTGTATTATTGTAAACTATCAATTTAGCATGTAGTTTAAGTGATGGGTATGTTTCTAGAATGGGGATAGGGCACAGTAATGTTAGAGTCAACTTGGATGCAAATCATCATGTTTTACTTTCTCCAAATAATGTGCCACACAGAGAAGGATGATTGTAAAAGTCATGTGGCACCTATTGTTAAGCATGTACCTTTCAGGTACATAGAAAAGACAAGCATGCTCTGTGCCAGTGCATGAAATTTTACAGGGGCGTCTTGTTTCTCCATGCATCTTTATGGATTGTTTCTCCATGAAATTTGACTGATCTGTTGAGTTGGTCCGAGTTGTTTTTATTTAGTTAGGAAGTTGTTGGGCTTTAGGCCCATTAGTTTATGTTTTTTTAAGTTGTGACTGTTCAGCTATATTAGTAGCTGCCCTACTAAGGGCATCCTTGTAATATCTCATCCTTTAAGTTAAGTATAAATATAATGAGAGGTAGGCGGCTAGGGTTAA